GGGCAACGTCTAAGTCAATTGGGTTTGGATTTTAGAAGTGTGATATCTATTGTTGATACCCATCAAGATTTAGCTTCAGTTTCATTTTTCAAGGTCTTCATTAGAAGCCAATTTTCTTGTCAAAATCTCATCTTGGATTTTAATTTTATTAGAAGGGTTTTCTTTTGTGATAGTGGCGGTAGAGGAAAAGGATGGGATATGAAACAGGATCGTGAAGGATCAAAAGGACGTGGTGGTGGCAGTAGTTCTGGCAAAGACAAAATTGATGCTCTTGGTAGACTACTGTAAGTTGTAAGCACCGTAATTTTTATTCTTCTTAGTTATAATCCTTTTTTGTCTCTCGTGTTATTTCATTCTTTGTCAATTCATATGAGACGATTCTGTTTAGTGTATTGAATAACTTTCCTCATTGAATAAAGTAGGGAGGGGAAAGAGGAACAAGAAAAGATACTAAGTAGACACTGTGCATTATTGGATATAATCTTTTTGTCTTTTAAAAATATTAATATCCTGTTGGTATTGAGTGAGTTAAGTCTTTGTTGGTGAAGGGTGTACCAAGTACATTTTAGATGATCCTTTTGCTGTATGCAAATTTGTTTCTTTTTTTTAGATTTATCCTCTCCAGCAGAGTTGGAGTTCAACTTATTATAGTGGATGGACTAATTTTATTGCATTTTTGTATCTAATGTCTGCAGGACACGTATTTTGCGACATATGGCTACTGAACTAAACTTGAATATGCAAAGTGATGGATATGTCAAAGTTCAAGATTTATTAAAGCTGAATTTGAAAACATTTGCCAACATTCCATTAAGGTCACACACTGTTGATGATATTAGGGAGGTTGGTTTTTCAAGTATTTTCCATTTTTTTTTTTCCTTACAGTTTGTATAGTCTTGTTTAGGAAAGACTTCAGGATATGTTGAAAAGTTTATCCAAATAGCTGAACTGTCAATCTTAATGCGAGCTCTTTTAGTCTTATTGGTTGGAAATCTCTATGAAGTTTTATCTAACAGCGTAAAAATTATTTCCTTCCCTATTACTTGTTGTTTTACTCTCTGGCAAATAGAGTTTTAAATAGTTGTGTTGTCTTTCACGTTCATATTTCAATTTCATTGTCTTAATCTGGTACATGTGGTACTGAAATTATTTTTTCTTTTGTTAAGCCATGGAACTCTAAGAAGTGCTTTATTTATTTCTTTCTTGCAGGCTGTCAGAAAGGATAATAAGCAGCGATTTAGCCTACTGGAGGAAAGTGGGGAGCTTTTGATACGTGCAAACCAAGGCCACACGGTGAAGGTGATAAATCCCATTCATAAAGCCAAAATATATTCTTCTTTTTTTTTTTTTATCTATTAATCTTCTTTGTGTTTGATGCTTCTTTTGAAATTTTCCTGTGAATTTTACATTCTTCAGGCTGTTTGATGATGAGTTTTTGCTTGTCATAGTGTCATAATCTTCTATATTTTTAAGGTTCATCTTTGGTATTTGGGACATGAAAAGTGCAATTTAAAAATTAAGTTCTCTTGTGCTTTCTTGGCAGACAGTTGAATCTGAAAGCTTATTAAAACCAATTCTTTCAGCTGATGAAGTGCCAGGTAAATTGGATCCTCCTCCAATGTATCACACACTTCATTTCACACCTTAAAGAAAAAAGATTCTTTTTTTCTTCTCCCTTTAGTAGTCTTCAATGCTTTATTTCCTGTGATGACAGTTTGTGTACATGGAACATACAAGAAGAATCTGGAATCAATTCTGGAATCTGGATTAAAACGCATGAATAGATTGCATGTGCACTTCTCATGTGGCTTGCCAACAGATGGTGAAGTAATTAGTGGTAAGCATATTTATGCCTGCTTATGAAAACTAGACATTTGGTTCTTCTGTTGATTCACTTAGATCCAGGATTTCCAGACATTATACATTTGACTTTGGAATCAGAAATTGTTAGACTGCTTCTGATGGTAACTTTTTATAATTTTTTTTTTTTTTTCAGGTATGAGACGAAATGTAAATGTTTTGATATTTCTTGACGTCAGAAAAGCTCTGGAAGGTAAAATCATGCTATTATTTAAACTTGTTCAGGTCTCAAGCAAATTTATGTTTTCACCAAACTTTCTTAAATACAAGGGTCCACTGTTTTATAGTCTGAACTGTTCTGGACTGTAAGACAAGGACTCTTGGATGGGGGGAGGGACCCAATATCAGGGGCCTCATTCCTCATCCAAGAGTCACTGTTTTACAATCCAGATTGTAAAACAATTTTTCCTAAATACAATACTTACTCAATGATTGTATTGTAATGAAAAGATAAATGGGAGCTAATGCCTACCCTTTGTTCTCTATTTCATGCAATCAGAGGGAATGAAGCTTTACATTTCAGACAACAAGGTGATATTGACTGAAGGTTTTGATGGTGTTGTGCCTGTCAAGTACTTTGAGAAGATCGAATCATGGCCTGATAGAAGACCTATACCATTTCAAATCTAGATTACATAATGTATTTTCATTTTTCAGTGTGATTCATGCCATGTTAATTTCATCTTAGTGGGGTCAGCTAGTTCTTTTTACTGATACATAATTCATAATTTGTTTTTAATACTTAAATTAAATCATTATTGTTTTCGTCTCCAAGGAGACATTATAGTGATTAAGAATTTGATTTTTCATATTAAAAGTCACAAGTTCAAATCCTAATATGTGTGGGGAGGGTTATCCATTATCTCCTGTTAACACATCACCCCATGTACTAAAAAAAATTTACTGTTTTCACTTTTCAGGGAACTGACAGAAGAAATTCATTTGGTTAGATTTAGATCTTATAATGTGAATTGCATTTGAGCAAGTGTTAGATTTGAGCACTGATTCCCTCGACATTATGTTTAGAGATTGAAAAAAAGCACCAACTTGTTTATTGTATTGAGTGAAAAGAATTTAATTTACTTTAAATAATATTTCGAGTTCGAGTTAAACTAAATAAATAAATAAAGAGAAATGTGAATCAGGGTAGAACAATTATGAAAACGAAAAAAAGAAGAAAAAAAAAAAAAAACCAGGGCTTTCAGATAAAAAAAGACTGTATACTCGACAAAATGAAATCTAGCCAGCCCAACCCAACCCAACCCAACAAGGCGAGTGTATGGTGGGCTTCGCAGTTCATAAACCGCTCCGGAGGCCGTGGCAACTGGCAACCAAATCCGAAAAGCAATGCAAAACACACCATTGCCGAAATCAGCCGATCTTCTCTGCTCTGAAATCAACTGATTCACCG